GAGAGAGAGAGAGAGAGAGTCGCCCGCGGTGGCGACTTCGTCCAAGTCCCATCTCCTGTCGCGTCTTCCAGCGACACCATTTTCGGCGTAGGCGCGTCGCGCCTAGAAACAGTTCTTAACGCAAGAGAGTGCGGAGAGATCTCGCCGTTTCTCACACGCGACGACGATGACGACGATGATGCCATGATTGGCGGCGTCGACTATCGATGTTGATAACATGCGCGCGATTACGTTTGCGTCTCATTCGGCCAGGTGTCTCGCGGCGTCCGCTCCGACGCCGCAAACTCCCTCGAGGAATTATTGATTTTTATTTACGACACGGCTAATCGAGGCTCGATAATTATCCCGATCGGTAGCCGATCGTTTATCCTTCAACGGACTGCGGAAAAAGGAAGGAGCGAGATCTCGAAACCCGCGACTCATCGGCTACCGGCTTTGCGTTATTATTCTCTCTCGCTCTGTCATTTACTCACTCACTCTCCCGCCCCTTTCGTCACCTTGCTCGCCAATATGGATTTGCGAGATCGCATCCAACGGATAATTCATTTGGTGATAACGATATTCGTTGTTTTTATCTAATCGTGCGGCTTGCGCGCGAGGAAAACCTCGAACGGGTCTAAGAGATACGTGTTAACATTACGAACACCGTGAATTTCGGTGAGGAGAAGCGGCACGCGTTCTGGTGACGATTGAAACAATCTTCCCTGATTCGAGGCAACGTCCTTTATTCGCGACAAGGTTGCGTGTGACTTGGAGAAACGCCGTCTTCCTCGTGACTCTCAGTGTACGTTGATGTTGTCATTTTGTCCGGTCGCCTCGCCGGTTTTTCTCCACGAACACTTCAGGACAGACCGCTGCTGGATAAAGCATTTTTTCCTCCTCGATACGCGAGGAGTCGACGACGACGAGGGCGGCGCGCGCGTGTGTGTGTCTGTGCTCGGGAGGAATCGATGTGCGCCTCGCGTTTCGTGGTGAGAACTGCACGTACGAGCGCGAAGTGAAATGCCGCGAGAGAGAGAGAGAGAGAGAGAGAGAAAAAGAGCCTTTCTCTACTCGACGAGGTGTCTGCTGCGACAGTCGAGAGCTCCTCACCTGTCCGCGGGTCGTAGTCCTCAGCTGATTAACTCTCTAATGAACGATTCGAACAATTGGTTGTTCTATGCAGCGAAAGCTGCAAACCTATAATGTGCATCTGTTAAGCTTAATCTACAATGTGCACTTTGCTTTCTGTTTCTCTATTTTTTTTCTGGTTTAAGACTCGAGTTAGATAAAGTAAGAAAAAAGCAGGAAGCAAAGAACACATTGAAGATCAAGCTCTTCTATTATTGCCACGATAAAATCGATAAAGCATTATTTACATTTCGTTAGATATGATTTTCGACCGGGCTGAACGATCATCGCTAGATTTGCTCAAGTCGCCGCTCCTCGTTGCTTGTTAATCACGATGATTGTGTATTGTGATTATGATTATTGCTGTATCTGCTGGATGAACAATGACCGCTGCGACGCGTGTTGGAGTGACTCTTCCGCGTTTTCGCGACGCAGCAACGGTTTGTGACGACGCAGTGTGGTAACGCGCAACGGGACTCACGGGGACGAGCTCAAAGCGCTTTTTGCGGAGCTGATATTTCCATGAGAGCACACGTCGCCATTGCGGAAGTTGTCATAGAAGTGCACGCACGTTCCGTACGGGCGTAGCGCGCTCGTAAAACGACGACGACTTGATTAACGCACTTTACGATTGCAGCCGACGTAGCGCGAAATAAAAACGGTACGCTCGATGGCTTTATTGAAGCGCCGCTTTATTAGGCGAGGCGTTCCGACACTGCGCGATCCACAAGCGTTAATGACGGATTATTCGAGTGATATCGCGAGATCGGGCTCCGGCGCGATTTTTTTCCTCCGCGGCGAGCGTATCGTGTCGAGGATATTTGGCTTGCGTTTTATTGGAGCTCGCACACGTCTCGTGTGTGGGTGTATCAATTAAGTGTACACGTCGCGTGTGCGCGAGATAAGTTCGTGCATCTCGTTTTCCGTGCTTTTAAATTCAATTAGCGTTCGAGAAACGACAGCGCCGTTATCGCGCGAGGATTCTTTCGGCTACGTTTATCGATCATTCCGTTTGATTGTGTTGTATAGACGATTTGTACAACGTCTAGCTCGCGAGCGTGTGTACCCAAAACACTCGCGGCTCTGCTGCATATTATTACGACGGCTTATTGATTATTAAATAATGCGCATGGATACTTAACGAGTATGTTTTGCTGAACTGATTGGACCATGCGCGAGAGGAGAGAGAGGGAGAGAGAATATTCATTGCAAATAAACTATAACTAACAAGCAGATTAACGAGAGAGATTCAATCACTATTTTGAAAATAATAAAAAACAATTATCACAATCACATGACCTCTTATCTCTATAACAATGTAATTTTATAACGTTTATATTGGACGAATTCATATTATTCGTGTATGACTATATCAATAAAGTTTCCACGTAGTAACTTTAGCACACTTTAGAGCGTTTCCCTCTGCCACACCTCTATTCACCGACGCGAAATCGAACATATGTCGACGTGCATCCTGTAAAAATTATAACACGATACCGTGAGATACCTGTCGAAGAAAGGAAGGGAGGACGGAAAATAAGTTCGTCGAGAACCAAAGTGCCCCTTATTCTTGCTGTGTCGAACGTGTTACACGCGCTGCACCGTACATAAGGGCCACGTACGCTACTAGCAGCGCGTGGTGCGCCTCTAGTTACAAGCCGAAGTGGTGCCGGATATTCAGCTGCGTGAATAAGTAATAATCGTCGATGTCGATACCATGAGGCACGGCCGTCGGTCAGCGAAGAAATCGACGAGATATCCGTCGATAGCGTCGATTTAGAAAATCGACACGGCTCCTCCCTTCTCGCCCTGCCGCGAGAAAATGCGCGTGTCAGGTCTAAACCTCGTTGTTTCTCCTTGCAGAATTGGCAGCCACCGTTTGCTGTGGACGTGGACAAGTTCAAGTTCGTCCCGAGGATACAGAGGTTAAACGAACTGGAAGCCAAGACCAGGATAAAGTTAAACTTTCTGGATCAAATCGCGAAATTCTGGGAGCTGCAAGGTTCCTCCTTGAAGATCCCTCTGGTGGAGCGGAAGGCGTTGGACTTGTACTCCTTACATAAAATCGTCACTGACGAAGGTGAGCCGTGAATTGATACATTCCGCTCATTTGATGCGCACCTCGCGGTTTTTATTTTACTCATGGCTGTACATCGTTTGCAGGTGGCGTTGACACGGTGACGAAGGAGAGGAGATGGGCCAAAGTCGCCAACAAATTGGGTTACCCATCCGGACGAAGCGTGGGTAGTATATTGAAGAATCATTATGAGAGAATTTTATATCCCTTTGACGTCTTCAAGCTGGGAAAGACATTGTCGGATATCGTAAGTTCATTCCGCAGAGAAAATACTCACGAAAGCTTCAAATGCGCGAAAGTCATCGTTCCTTATCTTACTTTGTTGCAATCATTTATCTCTTCGTGACTAAGAGCATTATTTGTCGCATCTCAACAAAACTGTACTGTGCAGAAAATCGAACCAGAAACGGACGCGAACGAGAAGAGGGATCGCGATTACAAACCGCACGGCATAATATCACGACAGCAAATCAAACCGCCGAACGAGAAGTTCTCAAGACGGTCCAAGCGGTATTCCGGCCAAGAAGAAAAGCAAGATGTATCGGTTAAGCAGGAGGACTGCAAGGAGGAGTGCGATTCTGACAACGAATGCAAGGTTGTGGTCAAGAGTAGGTATTATAATTCCGACACGGACAAAACCATGGACAAGAGCAAGGAACTTAAGAAATTACAATTTTACGGACCAGGCCCGAAGATGGCTGGCTTTAATACCAAAGAGGCGAAGAAGTCTAACAAGACACGCGGCTTGAAGTTTGTTTATGAGTTCGATCCCGTGAGTACACGATTTTTGTTAACAAGACTTCGTTCGTTCTTAGATAACATAAAGTTGTGAATTGAGTTCACCTTTATGTCGCTCACGTTCTTACTTACAGCTGGCAAAATATATCTGTCACAATTGCGGGAGGGGCGACAACGAAGAGAACATGTTGTTGTGCGACGGTTGTGACGACAGCTATCACACTTTCTGCCTTATGCCGCCATTGACGGAGATACCGAAGGGTGACTGGCGGTGTCCAAAGTGCGTCGCCGAAGAGGTCTCCAAGCCGATGGAGGCGTTCGGCTTCGAGCAAGCACAGAGGGAATACACGCTGCAACAATTCGGAGAGATGGCCGATCAGTTCAAGAGCGACTACTTCAATATGCCTGTGCACGTAAGTAACCCTTGTCAGTGACCATCAGACGAATATGCCGATACTTGTCGGTCGATAGTCGAGTCGTAACTCTATCTCGTGTTTTTTTTCTTTAAGTCTATGTTCTATGACGTCTACTAAGAAACATTTTACAATGGGGAGCACTACGCGCGTACATGCTATTATTAATAATGATTTCTTCCCACATCGGACAGACAGCTTTATCGATTACTTCCGCATAAACGTTCAGAGAGAAGGAAAGAGAGAGAGAGAGCAAAAAAAATAAATAAATCCATTATTTGCGTCAGAAGTTATTTATGACTCGACTCTCGGTGTATTGTAACGCATATTTATCTTTCTTACAATTAATCGTCATTTTCGCAGATGGTTCCCACATCACTGGTGGAGAAGGAATTCTGGCGTATAGTCTCGTCCATCGACGAGGACGTGACGGTGGAATATGGCGCTGATTTACATACGATGGATCACGGATCCGGCTTCCCAACCAAGACAAGCGTGAATCTGTTCACGTGCGATCAGGAGTACGCCGAATCCTCGTGGAATCTGAACAACTTGCCGGTGTTACGTGGCAGCGTTTTGGGTCACATTAACGCTGACATCAGCGGCATGAAGGTACCGTGGATGTATGTCGGTATGTGCTTCGCTACGTTCTGCTGGCACAACGAGGACCACTGGAGCTATTCCATCAATTATCTACACTGGGGCGAACCAAAGACGTGGTACGGCGTGCCGGGATCACAAGCCGAACGCTTTGAGCACTCCATGAAATCCGCAGCACCTGAATTGTTTCATAGTCAGCCTGATCTGTTGCATCAACTTGTCACCATTATGAATCCGAACATATTGACTAATGAAGGTAATATATGTGTGTGTGTGTGTATGTAGTGCGTTTTCTTCGTTGCTTTGAACTTGAGAGCGGACGCGAAAATGAGAAAACTTTTATGAATTCTATATTATGAATTGTACGTTTTCTATGTATATTGGATTGTCTTGTTCTGTAGCTCGTCTTACTAACGATAGTTATCGACACTTGTTTTAGACATGATTTTGTTGAAGTCTTGTTGACGTTTTGTTGAAGTCAATAGCGATGTAATTTTATAATGTAAAAAACTACAAGATATTGATCGCATATTATACATACAGGAGTACCAGTATTCAGAACTGATCAGCATGCGGGTGAATTCGTGGTGACATTTCCGAGAGCGTATCACGCCGGATTTAATCAAGGCTACAACTTCGCAGAAGCCGTTAATTTTGCACCTGCCGATTGGGTATGTAAATTGCTATATAATTAGTGATAATTCTGTCTAAACTCTCGTGTCAGATGAGGAATAATAAATATTGATAAATTTAAGTGACACAAACATATTTTGTGTCTTCAACAGCTCAAGATTGGACGGGATTGCATCACACATTATTCGAACTTAAGGAGGTTCTGTGTGTTCTCCCACGACGAACTGGTTTGCAAAATGTCGTTGGATCCGGACTCATTAGACATCGGAGTAGCGACTGCGACGTACCATGACATGCTACAAATGGTGGACGACGAGAAAAAATTGCGGAAGAACTTGCTAGAATGGGTAAGATCGCTTCCTGTTCCGATTTTGCGAAGCACGACGTTCGTCAATTATCGCCGCGTTGAAGCTCTTAAACCTAAATATATTAAATATTCATAGTCGGATTTTATAATTAAGATTGTCTCAAGTATACCTTCGGATACTCTGTAGCCAATAAAACAATCCGTATCTGTAGATAAACTTCAGACGATCTAAAATATATAAGATCAGACTGTGAATAATCCCATAAATAAAGTACTTTGAGCTTTTGTTTTTTAATCGACATTAAGGATTACACATTAGAATTTGAGTTAATTAATTTCAATTTTTGTTTTTTGGCTTATTTCGCCTCGATTGCATGTTTCTCGCAACCGTCTCACTTTTGGAATATCGTTTTCAAGTGTACGGATTTTGAGTCGATTAACAAAGTGTTCAAACTTCTATCCTGTCTACCAAGTTTTGTGATTGGGTAGTAAAGTCGTATGACGTCATCCATCGAGCCCGGATCAATGAAAATTTGTGCATTTGGAAACGCTGCTACCTTCGTATTCACGCAGCCGTGCATTTATGCATTCTTTACATCTCGTCGAGAAGGTGCGATCTGCATTTGCATGACTTGACTGCTATACATGGGGAATCAAGCAGACGTGTTCAAACACGCCGCGTGCGGGGTATGAATGCACGTTTCCATTAGCGATGCGAAAGACACTACATGTAAATCGGGCATTACAGCTGACTGAACGGGTCAACATATTCAGAACAAGTAGTACGTTACATGCCAACAGCGCGCCCTCCCACACGCACACACACACGCATGCACGCACGCACACGTCGCTGTGACATGTACGCGTTCGTACACACGCGGCAAAACCCGTATGCGTGCGAGTGATACCGCCGACCATTTGGACGTGTGTGTCGCGCGAGAACACGCAACTGTCCGTCCGTCCATCCGTCTGTCCGTCCACGTTGTAAAACCAATTAATGTCGCCACGTATTATTTTCGCCGCATTCGCTCGTTACCGGGCTCATTGTTGTCGTTCCCTCGGTCGTCGTGCTCGTGGTCGTTGACAAAATAGCGCGACGCGACGCAGTCGGCCTTGACTGCTTCGACGCCTATTTGGTGCGACTCCGATTTAGATTATGTAACTTACGGCGGGGTGAGTAGAGGTTATGTTTTCGAAGCTCTTCCGTGTGCCATGATGCTGCTGAACGTGCGTTCCATTTTCTCGGGCCGCGTCGCGCAGGATTCGCCGGGGCTACGCCGGCAGGGACGTGTGCGCGGGAACACACGCGACGACGGTGTTATTGCGCGACTCATGTGAGCCTCTCGCCATCTGCGTTCCGCTCCATTCTACGCAGATGGATACATGTGCGCGCCAGTGCAACACGATCGTCGGCTGTCCGATATTGTCGCCCTTCCTTCTCGTTCCTTCGTTTTCGCGTCAAGTTCTGTGTCGTGGGACGTTCGTTCATGGTTCGAGAGGTGCGGGATATTATCGAGTATGAGTAGCTTCTGAGTCTGTGAAACTTGTTGTCTGCTCAGGGTGTAACAGAGGCGGAGCGCGAAGCGTTCGAGTTGCTACCGGACGATGAGAGGCAATGTGAAGCCTGTAAGACTACCTGCTTTCTGAGTGCCGTTACGTGCTCGTGCCACAACTCACAGTTGGTTTGCTTGAGACACTTCGCCGAGTTGTGCTCTTGCCCACCGGACAAACACACGCTGCGTTATCGTTATACTCTGGACGAACTGCCCATCATGCTGCAAAAGTTGAAGCTGAAGGCCGAGTCCTTCGACTCGTGGGTGACCAAGGTCAAGGAGGCAATGGACCCCAAGAACGACAAAATCGAGCTGAGTGAATTGAAGGAGTTGTTGAATGAAGCTGAAAACAAGAAGTTCCCTGAGAGCGAGCTGCTCACTGCTCTCACCACAGCGGTGCAAGATGCTGAGAAGTGTGCTAGCGTCGCGCAACAGCTCCTCAATAATAAACAACGTACAAGGTCAGCGATAAGCAGGGTGATATTTTGTTGTAGTGTTCTCTATACAGTGACTGTTGACATATGGATTTTCTGTTACGCAGGACCAGGCAATCAGTTGATACCAAGTATAAACTTACTGTAGAGGAGTTGACACTATTTTATAAGGAGATCACCAACTTGTACTGCGAGCTCAAGGAATCAGATGGTGTCAAGTACATACTTGATCAGGTGGTGCAATTCCAAAAAGATGCAGAGGAATTGGAGTCCAAGGGGGATGAATGTGACATGAACAAGTTGGAGAAGTGCATCGACTTTGGTGATTCTATCTGCATCGAACTACCCCAGCTTCAACGGTTAAAGCAAGTATGTACTGGTTGACTTTGCAAACATATACTTTTTAATTTTTTACAAATATGTACTTTTTAATTTTGCAAATATTAGTTTAATTCCTGCAAATTCTTAAAAATATAACAAGTATGTTTTGTATCATTATCTTCTTCTAATCGTTAAGATTGTGAATTATTATTAATTACTACTAATTTTATTTCGTCATAGAAATTGATGCAGGTACAATGGCTGGAGGAAGTGCGGACCGTCCAAGACGATCCACGAAACGTCAGTCGCGAGGACGTAGTGAAATTGATCGAGAAGGGGATGGCGATACCGCCACATTTTAGTGTGGAGAACACGCTGTCCATGTTGCACTCGCTCACGAAGGCGATCGACAAGTGGGAGGAGAAGGCCAAAGTGTTTTTGCAAACTAAAAACAGACATACCATTGCGGCGGTAGAGGAGTTCATTCATGAGGCGGACGAGGTAGAGGCGTATTTACCGAGCTTGGACAATCTACAGGACATATTGAGCAAGGCAAAGAACTGGATGAAAGTGGTGAATGAGATACAAGCGAGGGAGAACGTGCCGTATTACGACACATTAGACGATCTGATCAGGAAGGGCAGAAATATCCCGTTACACTTGGAACCCTTGCCGATGTTGGAATCCACTCTCTCACAGGCGAAAGCATGGAAGGAGAGGACCGCGAGGACATTCCTGAGAAAGAATTCGCACTGCACGCTGATGGAGGCATTGTCGCCTCGCGTCGGCGTTGGTGTACAGGCGATGAAGACTAAGAAAAATAACAAATCGGGTGATGAATCCGTGGGCGCAGTTTACGTTTGCGAGACGAGATTAGACGACTCCAGCGACTCAGCTAATGTGGTGGCCGCCTTCAAATTGGCTGAGCAGCGCGAGATGGAGGGCATGAGGCAACTACGGGAGAAGAACTTCCTCAAAGTGGAAATCCAGGATTCCAAATACTGCATCTGTCGGCGACCGAGATTCGGCATTATGTTGCAGTGCGAGCTGTGCAAAGATTGGTTCCACAGTAAGTAGTGAAGACATGTGAATTGACGTACAATTACACAAAAATACAAGTATATTAAATTATTATGTTGATATATTGCGTTAGTTGTTTATTCATAAACTTTTATTATCCAGCAAACTGCGTGCCTTTGCCCAAAACTTCCTACAAAGGCAAATCCCCAATATCGAGGGACATGCGATTCTTGTGCCCGTGTTGCTTACGTTCCCGACGACCGCGCTTGGAAACGATACTGGCCCTTTTAGTGAGCCTCCAGAAAATTCCGATCCGTGTGGCGGAGGGTGAAGCATTACAGTGTCTAACGGAACGTGCAATGAACTGGCAGGTGAGGAGCACAGTGTCGAATATGTTCACGTAATGACCGAGTTGAACGAATAATAAAACGTCTCTAACCGAGTGCATATGTTTGCAATAGGATCGTGCGAGGCAAGCGTTGGCCACCGAAGAAATCTCCTCCGTGGTGACGAAACTCTCTGTAATGTCGCAAAAGCTCGTAGAAGCTGCGGCGAGGGAGAAGACGGAGAAGATTATCAGCAGCGAATTAAAGAAGGCTGCGAACAACCCTGAACTGCACAAAAGAGTGCAAGCTATCGCGCCACTCAGCGGAGTGCATTCAGACGATAGTGCGCTCAGTAATACCGTAAGTGTTGATCATAAACCGATTGATCCAATCAATTATAAACGATCGTGTATGTAGATTGTTAAGCATAATACATAAATATACATTTTGTTTCAGGAGGACGACGACGACGTCATTCCTATCGAAGACGAGCCCACGTGTAGTACCTTTAACAGTAGTGAACATGCTTATTCATATAGTAAGTTTCTAACTATCGTACATGTATAAATATAGGTGGTGTGTCAGATCAGAAAACAATTATGTTTCGCGTTACTGTTGCAGTCTCAAAAGTTCGACGGAAAACTCAATCGGGAGACGGCAGCGAATCGGCATTCGGCGTATTATCGTCGAGCGCGAGGTCGCGCTTAGAGGAGCTAATGATGGAAGGCGATTTGTTGGAGGTAGCTCTCGACGAGACGCAGCACATCTGGCGCATTTTGAGGCACACTTACAGTCACAACAACATGTGCACGTATCCGTCGTTCGAGGAGGTACAAGCGAATCGTAATCAAGAGAAGAAACGAGGCAGGAAGAGGAAATCGGAGGAATCTGAGCTGAAGACAAAGATCGGCCGGCAAAAGATCGAACGGCAAAAAGTTGACGAGAAGATCGCGAATAAACGCAAGATCGCAGGTCTCGTTACCAAAGAGAAGAAACAGAGTAGCTCACCCGTTCCCATGAAACGGGACTCCGCTGTCGGACTGAAGCGTGGACCCCGAAAGGTACTTTTTAATAAAGATAATTTCATGTCTCGAATTAAATCTTTCCTATCAATGATAATAAATGATAATAAATTCTTTGAGTTTTTTGGTTATTCAATCAATTTCTGTATTTGAAACTACTGTATATTTTGTAATTAAGAAAGGTAATTTTATAGATTCAATTATATATCAGAAAGAGAGTAGCACAGACTTTATATAGAAAAGTGTAATTGTTCGTTTTGTCTGTAGCGAAGAATAATACTGTAGAAAGTTTCAATTCGAGACGTTCTTCTTTGCAACTTTGTGATGCGAACGCATTCGTTTCACGAACATCGGACAGCTCGATTTCAGTCAAATATGGATTACAGATGAAGCGCAAAGAAGTCGAGGATGGACCCAAGAAGCGAGGCGGCAACCGCAAGAAGACCAAGCAAGACACGTCGGATGAAGAGGATGATTGTGCGGCGGTTAACTGTCTACGACCTGGTGGTAAGGATGATGTTGTTGTGTGTAACGTATTCGCAACGTGGCTTTAACGATATCTTCAATATTCGCATTGTTGTTCTCGCGCAAAATACATCGTAATCATAATTAAATATATATGGTAGATATATATAATAATGAACAATGTTGTCTGCAATAAACATTATATTACAACGATTGTGTACGCAAATTTTTTGATCACTTAGTCGCGTCGCGGTTGTAGGAATTATTTTTGCGTACTTGATTTTATACTTGATTTAATGATATAAATTGTTTTTTTTATTACGCCTGCATTTGTGTTGTCCTGTTAAATTTTACGATTCCGTTTTTGTTTTTACGAACACGTTTCAACGTGCGTATTGTTTTATTTGTTATTTAGGTAAGGAAGTTGATTGGGTTCAGTGTGACGGTGGCTGCGAGGGTTGGTTCCATATGCATTGTGTCGGATTGGATCGCACAGAAATCGCGGAGGAAGACGATTATATATGTAGCAACTGTAAACAGGCCGATCAGAATGCATCGGTAAGGCATAAGTAAAGAGAAGAAGAGACAGAGGGAAAACGCCATTTCCATCGCGCTTTTCCCTTTCGTCTGCTCGTAAAAAAAAAGAAAATAAAGGAACATGCGTGTGTGTGTGTGTGTGTGTGTGTATATATATATACACATACACATATACATATATATATATATATATATATATATATATATATATATAT